GTTTGACAGTGATGAGGGGTGGTCGTTTGACCGCGGACCCATTATGGACGCAGGCAATAAGGCAGTGATTGCTGAGATCCTGGTGTATTTAGAGGGTACATTTGTCAGGATGATATCTATGAGGGTGCCCATGTTTACTGATTTTAGGGTTGTACCTGGTAGGTTCGTTGATAATTTGTGTGAGATTGAGGGCATCTAGTTTAGATTGTAGGTTGGCCGGGGTGATAAGCATATCCCAGTTTAGGTCACCAAGCAGTACGAACTCTGAGGATCGATGGGGGGGCAATCAGTTCACATATGGTGTCCAGGGCACAGCTCGGAGCTGAGGGGGGGTCTGTAGCAAGCGGCAACAGTGAGAGACTTATTTCTGGAAAGGTGGATTCTTAGAAGTAGAAGCTCAAACTGTTTGGGCACAGACCTGGATAGTATGATAGAGCTCTGCAGGCTATCTCTACAGTAGATTGCAACCCCACCCCCTTTGGCAGTTCTATCGAGACGTAAAATGTTGTAGTTGGGGATGGACATTTCTGAATTTTTGGTGGCCTTCCTAAGCCAGGATTCAGACACTGCTAGAACATCAGGGTTGGCGGAGTGTGCTAACGCAGTGAGTAACTCAAACTTAGGGAGGAGGCTTCGGATGTTAACGTGCAAGAAACCAAGGCTTTTACGGTTACAGAAGTCAACAAATGATAGCGCCTGGGGAGTAGGAGTGATACTGGGGGCTGCAGGGCCTGGGTTAGCCTCTACATCACCAGAGGAACAGAGGAGGAATAGAATAAGGATACGACTAAAGGCTTTAAGAACTGGTCTTCTAGTGCGTTGGGTACAGAGAAAAAAGGGGGCAGATTTCCTGGCGTTGTAGAATAGATTCAGGGCATTATGTACAGACAAGGATATGGAAGGATATGAGTACAGTGGAGGTAAACCTAAGCATTGGGTAACGATGAAAGAGATCGCATCACTGGAGGCACCGATTGAGTCGGTCTCCACGTGTATGGGGGGGGGGGTGGGACAAAGGAGCTATCTAAGGCAGGTTGAGCTGGGCTGGGGGATCTACAGTGAAATAGTACAATAAGAAATAACTGAAACAGCAATAAGCAAGGCATATTGACATGGGAGAGAGGCATAAAGCAATCACAGGTGTTATTCAAGGACTGTAGACAGGTCTTCCGTGGCTGTCTGACCCTGCAGGGATACCGGTCACCATCTGATCCTGCTAAGACATGATAAGCATAGTGTTGCGTACTGACTGTGCACCATGACAGTGAAGCCTATAGAGCTGTTTATACCATGTCAGTGTGGAAAGTAGGGAATTTACTAGGGAAACTGACTGATCAATAACCTTACATTGCTATACTGACTCTAATAAAAACTCACATTGCACTGTCAAAAAAACGTCAACATCGGTCTTCAGTCGTTTGGCCGCTGGTTTCATCGTTTGATTCAGGTCTAGTGTGATTGAGTCAAAAATAATAGCTAAAGTTGGTGAGCTAGCTAGCTAATGTTAGCCAACTTTTGGCTAGCTCTAATAGTAATGGTACATCAACTGGTGAAAACTAGCCGTGTTAATTTACTTCTGTTGAAACGGGACAAAAAGGCTACAGGACATTTCATACACACAGCAGCTGTTAGCTAGCTGACAGATAGCTAGAGGCTAGAGCTGAACTGGCTGTGGTAGCTACTAGCTACAGTTGAAGTCGGAAGTTTACATAAACAAGTTGATGACTCCAACCTAAGTGTTTCAATCACTCCACAAATTTCTTGTTAACAAACTATAGTTTTGGCAAGTCGGTTAGGACATCTACTTTGTGCATGTTGTTTACAGACAGATTATTTCACTTATAATTCACTGTATCACAATTCCAGTGGGTCAGAAGTTTACATTCACTAAGTTGACTGTGCCTTTAAACAGCTTGGAAAATTCCAGAAAATGATGTCATGGCTTTAGAAGCTTCTGATCGGCTAATTGACATCATTTGAGTCAATTGGAGGTGTACCTGTGGATGTATTTCAAGGCCTCTTTGCTTGACATCATGGAAAAATCAAAAGAAATCAGCCAAGACCTCAGAAAAAAAATTGTAGACCTCCACAAGTCTGGTTCATCCTTGGGAGCAATTTCCAAATGCCTGAAGGTACCATGTTCATCTGTACAAACAATAGTATGCAAGTATAAACACCATGGGACCACGCAGCTCTCATACCGCTCAGGAAGGAGACGCATTCTGTCTCCTAGAGATGAATGTACTTTGGTGCAAAAAGTGCAAATCAATCCCAGAACAACAGCAAAGGACCTTGTGAAGATGCTGGAGGAAACAGGTACAAAAGTATCAATATCTACAGTAAAACGAGTCATATATCGACATAACCTGAAAGGCCGCTCAGCAAGGAAGAAGCCACTGCTCCAAAATCGCCATAAAAAAGCCAGACTATGTTTGCAACTGCACATGGGGACAAAGATCATACTTTTGGGAGCAATGTGCTCTGGTCTGATGAAACAAAAATAGAACTGTTTGGCCATAATGACCATCGTTATGTTTGGAGGAAAAAGGGGGTGGCTTGCAAGCCGAAGAACACCATCCCAACCGTGAAGCACGGGGGTGGCAGCATCATGCTGTGGGGGTGCTTTGCTGCAGGAGGGACTGGTGCACTTCACAAAATGGATGGCATCATGAGGAAGGAAAATTATGTGGATATATATTGAAGCAACATCTCAAGACATCAGTCAGGAAGTTAAAGCTTGGTTGCAAATGGGTCTTCCAAATGGACAATGACCCCAAGCATACTTCCAAAGTTGTGGCAAAATGGCTTAAGGACAACAAAGTCAAGGTATTGGAGTGGCCATTACAAAGCCCTGACCTCAATCCTATAGAACATTTGTGGGCAGAACTGAAAGGCGTGTGCGAGCAAGGAGGCCTACAAACCTGACTGTTACCCCAGCTCTGTCAGGAGGAATGGGCCAAAATTCACCCAACTTATTGTGGGAAGCTTGTGGAATTCTACCCAAAACGTTTGACCCAAGTTAAACAATTTAAAGGCAATGCTACCAAATACTAATTGAGTGTATGTAAACTTCTGACCCACTGGGAATGTGATGAAAGAAATAAAAGCTGAAATAAATCATTCTCTCTACTATTATTCTGACATTTCACATTCTTAAAATAAAGTGGTGATCCTAACTGACCTAAGACAGGGAATTTTTACTAGGTTTAAATGTCAGGAATTGTGAGAAACTGAGTTTACATACACCTTAGCCAAATATATTTAAACTTCCAACTTCAACTGTACGTTTCAAGCAGACCACCATAGTCCCTATGCCCAAGAATGTCAATGTAACTAAATTACTTGGCATTACCTTAGATTGTAAACTGTCATGGTCAAAACATATAGATTCAATGGTTGTAAAGATGGGGAGAGGTCTGCCCATAATAAAGAGATGCTCTGCTTTTTTGACACCACACTCCAAAAAGCAAGTTCTGCAGGCTCTAGTTTCGTCTTATCTTGATTATTGTCCAGTCGTGTGGTCCAGTGCTGCAAGGAAATACCTAGTTAAGCTGCAGCTGGCCAGAACAGAGTGGCACGTCTTGCTCTTCATTGTAATCAGAGGGCTGATTATAAATACTATGCATGCCAGTCTCTCTTGGCTAAGAGTTGAGGAGAGACTGACTGCATCACTTCTTCTTTTTATAAGAAACGTGTTGAAAATCCCAAATTGTTTGCATAGTCAACTTACACACACATCTCTGACACACACACTTACCCCACCAGACATGCCACCAGGGGTCTTTTCACAGTCCCCAAATCCAAAAAAAATTCAAGAAAGTGTACAGTATTATATAGAGCCATTGTTGCATGGAACTCCGTTCCTTCTCATATTGCTCAAATGAACATCAAACCTGGTTTCAAAAAACAGATAAAGCAACACCTCACGGCACAACACTTCTCCGCTATTTGACCTAGATAGTTTGTGTGTATGTATTGATATATAGGCTACGTGTGCCTTTTTAAAATTGTAATTATGTAGTTCTGTTCTTGTCTAATGTTCTGTATTATGTCATGTTCTGTGTGGACCCCAGGAAGAGTAGCTGCCACTTTTGCAACAGCTATTGGGGATCCTAATAAAATACCAAATTGACACACTCCTCGACCACTTATCGGTTACCGGGTCATGGTATGTGCCTAGCACACTGACGCCCTGGAACAAACTTCTACAGGCTTCTAGTTAAAGAGAGAGTTCACTCCAAAATGACAGTTTGTCAGACGTGTTAAATGAGCCCATGCAGAACTTCATCCCCAAATGGATGGGAAAGACAGACACTGTCTAAAATATCCCTGTTTTATTATGTGCTTATCTTTTACATTTGAGGTGAGGCATGTTTGTTCTACATAACATATTTCTATCTGAATACTCTACAATGTTGTGTGTGCTGAACGCGGCCCTGATCTCTTGCTCTCCCCTCTCTGATTGGCCAGCTTCAGAGTCGTCGTGTTATGAGTGGTTGGCGGTATGGAGGGCTCCGCTTCTGGAGGAGTCAAACGGGGGCAGTCCAGCTCCTGGGTCCCACCCCACGATTAGAAGCTACCCCCTCCTCCATACACTCCTCCGCATGTCTTGAAGAAGAGCTCCGTGCCTCCGTACAGGTAGAAGTAGTGTAGAGGTTGAAGAAGAGGCTGCCGCTGCGCTCTCTTGAAAATTGTAAGTTAGAGTCTGGTGTCTGTACGTAGAGTGTGTAGTTAAGAAGTCTGTCCTGCGCTCGTCAGGAGGAACAGGTAGTGATAGTTTGAAAAGAGTTGCCGCGCGTCTACAGGTAGAACAGTAGTGTAAGTTGAAAAGAGCTGCCCGCGCTCTGTACAGGTAGGACAGGTAGTGTAGAGGTTAAGAACGACTGCCGCTGCGACATACGGTACAGGACAGGTAGTGTAGTTAAAAAGAGTTGCGCTCGCTGTACAGGTAGGAACAGTGTGTAAATGAGCTATGAGAATTCTGCCGCGCGCTTGTACAGGTGGAACAGGTAGTGAGCAGGTTGAAGAAGAGGCTGCCGCTGCGTCCGTACAGGTATGGAACGTGTGTAGAGGTTGAGAAGAGTCTGCCGCTGCGCTCGTACAGGTAGGAAACAGGTTGTAGAGGTGAGAAGATCTGCCCTGCCTCTGTCAGGTAGGAACAGGTCGTGTAGAGTTGAAGAAAGTCATGACCTGCGCTCTGTACAGGTAGGAAGGTAGGTAGAGGTTGAAGAAGAGTCTGCTGTGCTCTGTACGGTAGGAACAGGTAGGTGAGGTGAGAAGAGCTGCCGCTGCGCTCTGTCCCAGGTAGGAACAGGGTGTAGGTAAAGAAGGTCTGCCGCTGCCTCTTACAGTAAACGGTAGTGCAGCAGTTGAAGAAGAGCTGCCGCTGCGCCTGTACAGGTAGGAACAGGTAGTGTAGAGGTTGAAGAAGAGCTGCCGCTGCGCTCCGTACAGGTAGGAACAGGTAGTGTAGAGGTTGAAAGAAGAGTCTGCCGCTGCGCTCCGTACAGGTAGGAACAGGTAGTGTAGAGGTTGGAAGAAGAGTCTGCCGCTGCGCTCTGTACAGGTAGGAACAGGTAGTGTAGAGGTTGAAGAAGAGTCTGCCGCTGCGCTCTGTACAGGTAGGAACAGGTAGTGTAGAGGTTGAAGAAGAGTCTGCCGCTGCGCTCTGTACAGGTAGGAACAGGTAGTGTAGAGGTTGAAGAAGAGTCTGCCGCTGCGCTCTGTACAGGTAGGAACAGGTAGTGTAGAGGTTGAAGAAGAGTCTGCCGCTGCGCTCCGTACAGGTAGGAACAGGTAGTGTAGAGGTTAAAGAAGAGTCTGCCGCTGCGCTCCGTACAGGTAGGAACAGGTAGTGTAGAGGTTGAAGAAGAGTCTGCCGCTGCGCTCTGTACAGGTAGGAACAGGTAGTGTAGAGGTTGAAGAAGAGTCTGCCGCTGCGCTCTGTACAGGTAGGAACAGGTAGTGTAGAGGTTGAAGTAAGAGTCTGGCCGCTGCGCTCTGTACAGGTCCTAGGAAACAGGTAGTGTAGATGGGTTGAAGAAGGGTCTGCCGCTGCGCTCCGTACAGTATGAACGGTAGTGTGAGAGGTGAAGAAGAGTCTTGCCGCTGCGCTCTGTACAGGTTAGGAACAGGTAGTTTAGAGGTGAAGAAGAGTCTGCCGCTGCGCTCCGTACAGGTAGGAACAGGTAGTGTAGAGTGAGAAGAGGTTGCCGCTGCGCTCTGTACAGGTAGGCACAGGTAGTGTAGAAGTTGAAGAGAGGCGCCGCTGCGCTCTGTACAGTAGGAACAGGTAGTGTAGAGGTTCAGAAGAGGCGCCGCTGCGCTTGTACAGGTAGGAAACAGGTAGTGTAGAGGTGGGTTGACGAAGAGTCTGCCGCTGCCGCTCCGTACAGGTATGAACAGGTAGTGTAAAGCGGTTGAAAGCGTCTGCCGTTGCGCTCTGTACAGTGGAACAGGTAGTGTAGAGGTGAAGAAGAGGACTGCCGCTGCGATCTGTACAGGTAGGAACAGGTAGTGTAGAGGTTGAAGAAGAGTCTGCCGCTGCGCTCTGTACAGGTAGGAGGGCTGAATCAAGCTGCACACCTCCCCAATGGCACTCTGTTCCCTATGTAGTGCACTACTTTTGACCAGAGCCCTAGGGAATAGGGTGCAATTTGGGATGTACAGAAAGACAGAGCCCTAGGGAATAGGGTGCAATTTGGGATGCACAGAAAGACATCATCCTAGATAACATCTCCTGCCATTGGGCCCTTGAGCAAAGCAACTAACCCCTACAACTGCTCTCTGTCCAGGGTGTGTGTGTCTGAGTTTACAAAACATTAAGAACACCTTCCCCCCCCCTTTGCCCTCAGAACAGCCTCAATTCGTCAGGGCATGGACTCTAAAGCGTTCCACAGTGATGCTGACCCATGTTGTGTCAAGTTGGCTGGATGTCTTTTGGGTAGTGGACCATTCTTGATACACACAGGAAACTGTTGTGTGAAAAACCCAGCAGCGTTGTAGTTATTGACACAAACCAGTGCGCCTGGCACCTACTACCATGCCCATTCACCCTCTGAATGGCACACATACACAATCCATGTGGTCCTCTGTAGCTCAATTGGTAGAGCATGGCGCTTGTAACGTCAGGGTAGTGGGTTCGATCCCCGGGACCATCCATACGTAAAAATGTATGCACACATGACTAAGTCGCTTTGGATAAAAGCGTCTGCTAAATGGCATATTATTATGTCTCAAGGCTTAAAAAACATTCTCTGCCCTGTCTCCTCCCCTTCATCTACACTGATTTTGAAGTGGATTTAACAAGTGACATCAATAAGGGATCATAGCCTTAACCTGGTTTCAGCTGGTAGGTATGTCATGGAAAGCGCAAGTGTTCCTAATGTTTTGTTGCCAGTGTGTGTCGGGGGGGGGGGGCTAAGGTAATGATCCTCTCGTCCAGATCGATAACGGCCCAGTAAAGTGGTGTATTGTTCCTCCAGACCAACTCCCTGCCAGACCCTGAGCCGACCCCTGACCCCACCTGGGAGAGTCTGCAGGCCAATCAGAAGACCGGCGCTGTCTGCCAGCTCACACGCAGCGCACGCAGCCACATCGGGGGAGTGTACCAGGTAGGAGACAACCTACAGTTGGAAGTCGGAAAGTTTACATACACCTTAGCCAAATACATTTAAACTCAGTTTTTCACAATTCCTGACATTTAATCCTAGTAAAAATTCCCTGTCTTAGGTCAGTTAGGATCACCACTTTTTTATTTTAAGAATGTGAAATGTCAGAATAATAGTAGAGAGAACGATTTATTTCAGTTTTTATTTCTTTCGTCACATCAGAAGTTTACATACACTCAGTTAGTAATGAGGTCAATTAGCCTATCAGAATCTTCTAAAGCCATGACATCATTTTCTGGAATTTTCTAAGCTGTTTAAAGGCACAGTCAACTTAGTGTATGTAAACTTCTGACCCACTGGAATTGTGATACAGTGAAATAATCTGTCTGTAAACAATTGTTGGAAAAATTACTTGTGTGATGCACAAAGTAGATGTCCTAACCGACTTGCCAAAACTATAGTTTGTTAACAAGACATTTGTGGAGTGGTTGAAAAACGAGTTTTAATGACTCCAACCTAAGTGTATGTAAACTTCCGACTTCAACTGTATATGTGATAAAGTGAAAATCTGAGGCCAGCAACTGACCCTAACCCGCAAATATAGAAAATGCTCTGTAGGTTATAGTCAGATCTGGCGGAACGATTTCTTTGACAGGGAGTGCTTAAAATTTCCGACATCTTAGTAGGCTATTTGTTAGTCAAACTTGTCTATAATTAGATAGATGCAGCTTTTCTTCTGTCATTATATGTTGCCCTAGAAGACTCAGTAAACCCTTGCTCACCAGAATTTCATAAATCAATAGAATGAATGCTTCTAGTTGACATCGGTAAAGTTCTGTCATTTCTGCTTCTTTAGAAGAGCAAAGACGTTTAGGGGCCGGGGAGAAAATGCAATAACTCAACAAAAACATGTTTTCTGTGCAACATTTCCAAATGACATCCGTTTGACCAGTTGTAAGGAAATAGAAAGCTGTGAAAAAAACGATCGAACGTGTTGCTGATAAGATTTCAGTTTGGATTGGATGCATATTTTATGTGGTTGAAATACTATCAGCTTTTATGATGCTGATAAAGACAGCACCTCTACAGACGGTATCTAACTGCGCATTTGTATTCTCTCAAGATGCTGAAAGAAATAAATCAATTTTCTCCACTCCTGTTCCAGAGTCCATTTTGCCTACATTTGGGGTGTAATTTTAATGCAAGAAATGCGTAATTCTGCAGGAGTTCATATTAAAGGGAAACTTCACAGCTAGTGTTTTCCCAGTCTCCCTACCTCATCCTTATGAGTGATGAGAGGGCGTTTCAGACATAATTATGCACTATTTTTGCACCGGGAGATGCCATTGATTGATTGAGCATGCTGTCTGATCTAAAAATGAATAGTCATGTTTTTTTTTTAGCAATTATTGTGACCTTTGTGTTTTGCCAATTGCACAATCATACTAGTGGATATGGCTGTCCTTGTTCAATAGAACCATTTGACTAGTCTCAACGATGTTTTCTATCTGCCAGGACATTGCAGCATACCTAGGTTGACGCTAGCTAGCTAACGTGTCTGAGATGTCTTGGAGTAACTACACCTGTGTGTTGTAGCTAGCTAGCTAACGTGTGTGTGTGATGTCTTGGAGTAACTACACCTGTGTGTTGTAGCTAGCTAGCTAACGTGTCTGTGTGATGTCTTGGAGTAACTACACCTGTGTGTTGTAGCTAGCTAGCTAACGTGTCTGAGATGTCTTGGAGTAACTACACCTGTGTGTTGTAGCTAGCTAGCTAACGTGTCTGTGTGTGAGATGTCTCATTCTGCACCATGCTGCTACAGTAGTAATACTGCACCACCCAAACACACCATATGCCACTATTACCTTTGCAGAACTTCAGGATTTATTATAAGCATTAATAGTATATGTTTCTTCTACTGTATAAATACTGAGTGGACAAAACATTAAGAACGCCTGCTCTTTCCATGACACAGACTGACCAGGTGAAAGCTATGATCCCTTATTGATGTCACTTGTTAAATCCACTTCAATCAGTATAGATGAAAGGGAGGAGACCGGTTTAAGAAGGGTGCGCGCACAACTCGATATTAGGAAGGGGTTCCTAATGTTTGGTATACTCGGTGTATGTCAATACATTGCCATAACTGTTCCCGCATACTGCTGTGTAAACTCACCTCGGTCTCCAGAGCAAATAAACGTTGTCTTGAAGACAAGCCATGTCTACTTATTTGCTATATTGACAGACTAATCTGCTGTTTTGAAACATATTTACTTGCCAACAAATTAGTTTAAATGATACACCAACTCCCTGCATCATTTGTTTTAGCAGTACAGCTGAAGCTAGTTTATCCAAATGCATTTCATGAATATCACAATGAATTGATCCAGTAGATGAAGTCAACACTCTATTGGTTTCTGATGCAGCTGGAATCATTTAGTCACTTGTCAGGACACTTAAAAAAAGAGAGAAAAAACAGCATTATATACATACTGTACAACAGCTGGCAATATCTATAGCACAATGCAGCTTTGTTCATTCTATATTATACTACAACATCAGTCTAACTGAATATGGATGTTGTGTTGGTTGAATGTTCCAGAATGTTCTTCAGCTGGTGAACCTCTTGTATTGGGTAATGGCAGCTGGTTTAGCTGACAAGCACTGCCAACAATAGTGACTAGGCTAGAAGAGTACACTGACAGCCCCTCTCCCCCAATGCCAAAGAACTGACTGCAAGGGGGTGGAAAAGTTTGAGGAGCACTTGTCTTGTAGACAGTTTAGTGTATTGGGGATCTTTGTTTTCTCCAGGGTATTGTGCCTTTATAAATACCTTTTTGGCTGGCTGTCCTGGCTTGTTTCAAAGTCAGATGTTGTGCTTGAGGCTTATTCCAGGCTGAAAGCTTTCATCCAATGGGTCTACAGGCTCTGTCCTGCTGAAGCTGGTGTCCAGGTCATCGTCCTCAGCAGCAGGATTAGTCTGTAGGCCATACAGTAGTCAGTGATTATCCAACATCTTACTACTCTGTCCCCATCAATACACACTCTAACAAGGTACTATATCCACCCCTCCTCTCATGTCAATACATCTGACTAACCTTCACACACTATACCCACCCTCACCAGACACCAGTCAGCAGACACCAGTCAGCAGACACCAGTCAGCAGACACCAGTCAGCAGTCACCCACACCATCCCCTCCATATTAATACCTCATCTTCTCTTCAAGGCTTACACCAACAACCAGCTAAGCCTCCATAACACAGAGAGAACTACAGTAGAGGTTGTAGCCTACTTGTTAACACACCAACCATGACAACCAGACACGGACCATGTTTAAACACACCAACCATGACAACCAGACACGGACCATGTTTAAACACACCAACTATGACAACCAGACACGGACCATGTTTAAACACACCAACTATGACAACCAGACACGGACCATGTTTAAACACACCAACCATGACAACCAGACACGGACCATGTTTAAACACACCAACCATGACAACCAGACACGGACCATGTTTAAACACACCAACCATGACAACCAGACACGGACCATGTTTAAACACACCAACCATGACAACCAGACACGGACCATGTTTAGGCCGAACTCCAGTATATTTATTAGCTCATGGAGTCAGGGAAAGATTTAGTACATTTTAGTAAGATGTTACATTTAGATTTTAACTGCTTCTCTAGCAGATTAGTAAGATTGTCTCACACCATGTTCGAGAACGGCCTTTTTCCCTTTATTCAGATTACAACCTCTCACTTTCGGTTATTTGAAAATGAAATAATCTCCAAAAATCACTATTTTTAAAACAAGCCATAGAAACTTGGTAGCAATTTCAGTTTAATCCACCAGAAACGACAGAACAAATAATACAACAAATATTGTGGTTAAACTCAAATATACTAATTGATTAAAAAATGTATAATTTTTTTAGATTTTTTTTTAAAAAGGGTATAATCTTTGTAAATGATATCATAAATAGGACTGGTGGAGTTATGTCAACCACCCCAGCCCTACAGATTTAGCTGCGAAGAGGCAATCATTAGGTCATTTGTTTCCATCTGTAGCTTGTTTTTGGTCGCAGGTCCAGGAATGGTTGAAGAAGTGCAACATTTACCTGGAGCTGACTCTGCAGATAGCACTGCTGGGGGATTTGAAAAGTCATAGTCAATCGATCAATAATACAATAATACTTTTAGCAAAAATGTTTAATTTATCTGTAGAAACAATGAGAAAATAAAGTTTTAAGAACTTTTGTGAAACATCACAGTTGAAAAATATATGGCAAATATAAATACTAAATGGATGGTGTTAAGAGATGGATGGGAGGGGTTGAGTGGAGCTGAAGGGTGGGATTAAAAACAAGATAACTAATGTAACTCTGTCAGCAAAATGTATATACAGTGCCTTCGGAAAGTATTCTGACCCCTTTTGACTTTTTTCATATTTTGCTACGTTACAGCCTTATTCTAAAATTGATTTAATTGTTTTTTCCTCATCAATCTACGCACACTACCCCATAATGACAAGGGAAAAAACGTTTTTTAGACATTTTTGCAAATGTATTAAAAATAAAAAAAACTGAAATATTACATTTACATATGTATTCAGACCCTTTACGCAGTACTTTGTTGAAGCATCTTTGGCAGCGATTATAGCAGTCTTCTTGGGTATGACACTACAAGCTTGGCACACCTGTATTTGGGGAGTTTCTCCCATTCTTCTCTGCAGATCCTCTCAAGCTCTGTCAGGTTGGATGGGGAGCATCGCTGCACAGCTATTTTCAGGTCTCTCCAGAGATGTTCGATCGGGTTCAAGTCCAGGCTCTGGCTCGGCCACTCAATATTATGCTACCCTCTGCCTATTGGCTACTTGGCTTATTCAAACCTGTCTCAAAATACAACACTGCACCTTTAAGACAAAAAGCATCTCTTTACCTGACTGGCTTTTCAAAGATGTCTAGAAATGTACACGTTTTCTTGTAGGAAGCAACCACTCCCCTATTGCTGACTATAAATGATCTATAACTGGGCTAATAACTCACTAACTAGCAAAGGATCTGAACAAAATGTGCACACGTGGCTACATGCAGCTCTCTCTTTGATCTCAAAACAAGCGCATCTACTCACGACCGCTCATGCTGTAAACACAGTCCAGTTGAAAGTAAATCGCACAGATCCATATATGGCAATGGTCTATTTGCATATAGGCCTACTGCAGCTCTGATTGGTTATGCTGCACAGGTCGGTGTAGAGTACGGATAATGCGCAATAGAATCCTACTCCGATGTGTTCTGCCTACAACAAAATCTCTTGCATAGTTTGTTTAGTTTCAGTATGTTGCATGTGGCTAACATTGCGTTGATTCGATCACAATTGCCACAGTAAAGGGAAACGTTTACTAACAGGGAAAACTCTAGAAAGTTGAGTGAAGTTCAATCTGTGCTTCTCTCAGTGAGCTGATATTTCTTCTATAAGGCACAGCTTAGAGGGAACGTTGGTCTTCACCAGGAGAGAGCTTCTCCTGCTGCACTCCCTCTTTGATTCTGTGAAAGTCCAGCTGAAACTGTTTGGGGTTGCCCTGTACCAATACAAATCCAACTCTAAATCTATATTTTTGTAAAAACATGCTGAAAAATTCAGAAGCTCATCTGAATTGTGATCTCTCTCTCTCTCTCTCTCACTCACACACACACACACACACACACACACACACACACACACACACACACACACACACCCAGAGGCTTCAGAGGAACAGAGCAGTGGTGCAGGATCAGGAGGAGTGTTTGGTGGTGACACCTGGCCGGGTGTGTGAGGGGACAGAGAACAGCGGGGAGGTCCCCTCCCGTACACCAAGACGCACCCCCGTCCGTTCCACCACACTTATCCCCACAACAACCCCCAGACGCACCCCCAGAGCCACCGCGCCCAAACGCAGGGGAAGTCCTGAGGTGACAGGGGTGAAGAATGGGGGAGGGAGGAGGCAGCTGGTTCGGATGGCTGCACTACGAAGCCCCTTCGCCTCTCCCAACACTCAGAGCCTCAGACGGTGAGCACACACCCCCACACATACACACACTCCCCACCCCCACACATACACACACATCCACACACACATACAGTACACACACATCCCCATACACATCCCCACATACATACACACACATACACACACACATACAGTACACACACATCCCCACATACACATAAATACACACATCTCCACATAAATACACACACATCCCCACACACACACACACACATACCTCCACATCCCCACATCCCCCCCCCACCCCCCCACACCCCCCCTCCCAATAATGAAACTGAATTGACCCCCACCCTGCCCAGAACAGAGTGTGTGATTGACTGGTGTGTCCTGCTCTCTGATTGGTCCTGTGTGTGATTGACAGGAAGTTTGGCCGGGACCTGGAGAGTGTGTCCAGCGGTCTCAGGAAGCTGAAACGTCTGTCCCACGCCTTTGATGATGTCATAGAGAGAGACGACCGGTGAAGAGAACACTAACAACATTTTAATTCTGACTGTTCATACAGAGACCATCTGTTCCTCAGCGTTTCACTCTGTATTTACACTAGTATTTATATAGAGATGCAGCTGATAGGGAAATGAGAGGGGTTAGTTCTGTTAGGCTGGGGAGCAGGACCGAGGAGTGAAAGGGGTTAGGAAGGGGAGCAGGCTAGAGCGCATTACTTCCTGTTATCGTAGCCATTCTGGCTCAGATATGTGTTTCCTGTTCTGGGGCCCTGAGGAGGGGATCCTGTCTAACGGTCGCCTGCCCTAAAACCCTGCAGCTGCTCTCTCTAGTCCACACACACACATTCCTTCCCGCCCCCGCTCAATTTCAAATTGGGTTTGTGTTATGTGGATGAGTGAGGGGGATGATGTGGGGGTTGTAGAGAGGACGGACAGGAAAGGAGAGGGGGGTTGTAGAGAGGACGGACAGGAAAGGAGAAGGGGGTTGTAGAGAGGACGGACAGGAAAGGAGAGGGGGGTTGTAGAGAGGACGGACAGGAAAGGAGAGGGGGGTTGTAGAGAGGACGGACAGGAAAGGAGAGGGGGGGGGTTGTAGAGAGGACGGACAGGACAGGAAAGGAGAGGGGGTTGTAGAGAGGACGGACAGGAAAGGAGAGGGGGGTTGTAGAGAGGACGGACAGGAAAGGAGAGGGGGGTTGTAGAGAGGACGGACAGGAAAGGAGAGGGGGGTTGTAGAGAGGACGGACAGGAAAGGAGAGGAGGGGGTTTGTAGAGTCAGCGCGCTACAGTTGGACATTTTTAGGAGGGGTGCTTAGGGGAGGAGTGTAGCAGGGGAGGGGAGGGGAAGGGGTGTAGCAGGGGAGGAGGGGGGGTGTAGCAGGGGAGGAGGAGAGAGCGAGCGACGGTTGCGTGCCACGTCATCGACCGACACGTTGCGATAACTTGTAATATACACTACATGACCAAAAGTATGTGGACAATGAATGTGTTCATGCAACAAATGTTAGTGCATCGATTCGTTCTCTAACCAAACCGAATCGTACCGAATCGTTTCAAAATGTGTTGCATGAACACATTCATTGTCCACATACTTTTGGTCACGTAGTGTATATTATACACAGTGCACGTTATCGCAACGTGTCGGTCGATGACGTGTCCCCCTGTAGCCCAGTTGGTAGAGCATGGCGCTTGCAACGCCAGGGTTGTGGGTTCGTTTCCCACGGGGGGCCAGTATGAAAAAATGAATGCACTCACTAACTGTAAGTCGCTCTGGATAAGAGCATTGCTAAATGACTAACATGTAAATGTAAAATAAAACGTATCGTTCCTGTATCGTATCGGAGCCCTTCTATCGAATCGTCTTGAAAGGGAAAGATGCACATCCCTAATGAACACTGAACTTGATATGAACATTTGTACTTTTATTAGGATTTTGTTATGAACTGGGAATTTGATTTATAAACATTAACAACTTTATCAGTGTCATTTGATGAATTGTATCAGACTTTAAGACTCGATCATATGCTGAAATGAGGTAGATCAACTAAGAAGGTCTTATTAGTGAAAGCCTAGGAGTCTCTGCCTTCAGGGCCCCGTTTTTCAAGTTATCTAGTTAGATTTCGCATATTAGATAGGATTAAATGCATAGAAATAAAGTGAATAGAACATTTATCATTGACTTGAATGGGGACTCCTGTTCTGTTTATTATATTTCTATGTATTTCATCCTATCCAATAGCCGAAATCCAGATGGAGAACTTTTGGAGAACTGGGCCCTGGGTAGCTGGGACTGTAGAGTATACCCCTATCTGGGTAGCTGGGACTGTAGGGTATATCCCTATCTGGGTAGCTGGGACTGTAGAGTATATCCCTATCTGGGTAGCTGGGACTGTAGAGTATATCCCTATCTGGGTAGCTGGGACTGTAGGGTATATCCCTATCTGGGTAGCTGGGACTGTAGAGTATATCCCTATCTGGGTAGCTGGGACTGTAGAGTATATCCCTATCTGGGTAGCTGGGGACTGTAGAGGTATATCCCTATCTTGGGTAGCTGGGTGACCGTAGGGTATATCCCTTAGCTGGGTAGCTGGGCACTGTAGGATGTAATCCCTATCTGGGTAGGCTGGGACTGTAGGGTATAATCCCTATCTGGGTAGCTGGGAACTGTAGGGTATATCCTATCTGGGTAGCTGGGACTGTAGGGTATATCCCTATCTGGGGTAGCTGGGACTGTAGAGATATCCCTATCTGGGTACTTGGACTGAGATATATCCCTATCTGGTAGCTGTGACTGTGGGTATACCCCTATCTGGGTAGTGGGACTGTAGGGTATATCCTATCTGGGTAGCTGGACTGTAGGGATATCCCTATCTGGGTCTGACTGTAGGGTATATCCCTTATCTGGTAGCTGGGACTGTAGGGTATGATATCACTATCTGGGTAGCTGGGACTGTATGGGTATATCCCTATCTGGGTAGCTGGGACTGTAGGGTATATCCCTATCTGGGTAGCTGGGACTGTAGGGTATATCCCTATCTGGGTAGCTGGGACTGTAGGGTATATCCCTATCTGGGTAGCTGGGACTGTAGAGTATATCCCTATCTGGGTAGCTGGGACTGTAGGGTATATCCCTATCTGGGTAGCTGGGACTGTAGGGTATATCCCTATCTGGGTAGCTGGGACTGTAGGGTATATCCCTATCTGGGTAGCTGGGACTGTAGGGTATATCCCTATCTGGGTAGCTGGGACTGTAGGGTATATCCCTATCTGGGTAGCTGGGACTGTAGGGTATATCCCTATCTGGGTAGCTGGGGACTGTAGGGTATATCCCTATCTGGGTAGCTGGGACTGTAGGGTATATCCCTATCTGGGTAGCTGGGACTGTAGGGTATATCCCTATCTGGGTAGCGGGGGGACTGTGGGGTTACCCCTTTTGGGGGTTGGGGGGGGGACGGGTAGGGTTACCCCTATCTGGGAGGGGGGACTGCGGGAAATCCCCATCGGGGTTTACGGGGACGGTAGGGTTATCCCTATCTGGAAGGGGGGGGGACTGTAGGGTATATCCCTATCGGGGGTAGCTGGGATTTGTGGGGTTTCCCCTACTGGGTAGTGGGACTTTAGGGTTTCCCTTTTGGGTTTGCGGGGAGTAGGGTATTTTCCCATCTGGGTGGGCGGGGGCTGTGGGGTAAAAACCCCAATCTGGGTAGCGGGGGACGGGTGGGGGATACCCAAATTCGGGGAAAGCGGGGGACTGTGGGGTTTCCCCCATCTGGGTAGCTGGGACTTGGGGGAAATTCCCTATCTGGGTGGGGCTGGGATGTGGGTAATCCCAGGGGGTTTTTGGGACGGTAGGGAAAACCCCTTTAATCGGGTAGGGGGGGACTGTAGGGTAAAATCCCTATCGGGGAAGGGGGAACGGGGGGGAATACCCATTGGGAGCTGGGGGTTGTAGGGTTTCCCATCTGGGAGGGGGGGGACTGTAGGGTTTTCCCCTTTTATCTGGGAAAGCGGGACGGTGGGGGAATACCCCTATCGGGTTTAGGGGGACTGGTGGGGGGAATCCCTTCTGGAAAGCTGGGACTGTAGGGTTTTCCCCCCAAATCGGGTTTTAGCGGGGGGACTTGGGGTTTAATTCCCGGGGGGGGTTTTTTAGCGGGGGACGGTGGGTTTAACCCATCTGGGTAGCTGGGACTGTAGGGTATACCCCTATCTGGGTAGTTTGGGACGGGGTATTGAATTCCCCTTTTGGGGGTAGCTGGGGAGGGGGTTATCCCTATCTGGGTAGCGGGGACGTAGGGTAAAAATTCCCTATCGTTTGGGGAACCCCCTATAAATTAACCCTTTTTGGTTTTTTTTTTCCCCCCTGCAGCACAACTTTTCAGCTACTCTCAAATTTCCCCGAGAAAATTGGGGCAGGTACCAAAAGGGGTTTTATTTACATTTTTTTAAAAGGGGTTCACCTGACCCCCAATGTTTTAGGGGGATTCCCTGCTGGACTGGGCACCCCCACCCTACTGGGGTGATTTACGAGGGGAGAGTGGACCTGGGGCTGGCTGATTTGGACGGGGAAGGGGCCCTGGTAAAGGGCCCTGGGGGGGAGAGTGGACCTGGGGGGGGAATGACGGGGAAAGGGGAAAATTTGGGTTTGGCTAAAAGGGTGGGAGAGTGGCCCGGGTCCTGGCGGGACGGGTGCCTGATTTGGGAGAGGGGGCCCCGGGTTTGACTGCGGGCTGGGCTGGGGGAGTGGCCCTGGTGACGGGCAAATGACGGGGAGAGTGGCCCGGGTTTAAAGGTTGATTTAAACGGACGACGGGGGAAAAGTGGCCCTGGGGGGACGGGCCCTGACGGGGCTGGGGGGGAGGGGGGACCTGGGGGCCCTGGCTGAAGGGACTGGGGATTGGCCCTGGGGGAGGCTACGGGGACTAAAGGGGGAGAGTGGACCTGGTGGCGGGCGGCCTGGCTGGGAGAGTGGACCTGGTGACTTGGGGACTGACTGGGGGGGGAGAGGGGAAAACCTGGTACTGGTGACGGCTGGCTGGGAAAAGGGGGGACCGGTGACTGGGTTTGGGAATGGGGGAATGATGGGAGAGTGGCCCTGGTAAACTGGGACGGACTGACGGGCCCGGGGAGAGGGGGACCTGGTGATGGCTGACGGGGCTGGGAGAGTGGCCCGGGTGACTGGTTTGACGGGGAGAGGGACCTGGTGCGGGCGGGATTTGACGGGACTGGGAGGGGGGGGCCCTGGGGGACGGGTTGACGGGCCGGACGGGAAAGGTGGCCCTGGTGCCTGGCGGGACGGGACGGGGAGAGTGGCCCCTGGGGGAAGGGTTATGATTTTGGGAGGGGGCCCCGGGGGGGGAATGGTTTACTGGGAGGGGGTGGCCCTGGTGCCCGGCTTGGAAGGCCCGGGGAGGGGGACCTGGTGATTGGCGGGCTGGGGGGGGGGGGGGACCTGGTGACTGGGACGGGACGGGCTGACGGGGAGATTTGGCCCCTTGGGGGAACGACTGACTGACTGG